TATATGTATTTCTTGATGGATTATTGTTGTGAAAAATATTTCAAATTAGAAATCGTTTGATAATTAAAACTCTGTAGACAAATACATTTTGTACCATAAATTGAGAGGATTATGATTGTGATGATAATGATATAATTTATATAAAAATTTGTTATAAGTCCAAAATCGAAAACATAAGTTAGGTGAAATTCATACATTTGTTGTTGTTGATATAAGTCTTTTGACTTTTGTGCCACATATAATTACATTTTATTATAATGTTTACGTATTTATTTTTTCCGCTTTTAATTATTTTGTTGTACCAATTATGCCCCTTAAACATAAATAAGGTAATAAATTAATTTTTGTCATAATAATAAAAATCCAAAAGGTAAATACACTATACACATCCTACAAATCCCGCCTTCATCAAAATTATACATATGACTATGTTCCAGGGGATCCCGAGTCTTTATATTTGTAATTTATGCATTTTCTCGCATTTTGCAAAATCCTGACCATCCTAATAATCTAACGGTTTAAAAGACATGACATGTGAACAATATAAGTATTTAATTTTCCTTTTTATAGTAAAATTTATTTAAATTTAACAATTATTTGTTTAAATAAAAAACATAAAAGAAAAATTAACTCCATTTCCATGAGGTGGGTGGGAGGGAGGCCATAGGTTTTTTCACGAAAGGTTAGGGGTAATTAAAGGGGGGGTTGTGAAGAATATAGAGAAAGATTATTGGGGGAGAGAGAGAGAGAGAGAGAGAGAGATGGTGAATGGTATATATAACGGCTTGGGTGGTGTTGGGGTGGGTTGGGGAGAAAGATGGTGGATGGTATGACTGTTTGGGTGTGTTGGGGTTGGTGGGGGCGTCGGGGAAGTTGCATTTCTGGTTTTTTAATTTTTAGATTATGTGACTTTTTAATCTGATTTTTTTAGTTTTAGATTGAATTTTTAAATATTTGAAGTTATTTATTTATTTATTTAAGGTTTGATTATGTGTCTTGTTTTAAACAGTTAGATAATGAGGATTGTGAAGGTTTTGCGAAATGCAGATAAATGCTTAAATTCTAAATGTAGATACTTGGGATCCATGTTCCAGGTATATACTAACCCAAACCAATAAACATGCCTCTTGTCCACGTACACCTACTGAAAATTTGGGGTGGGCATACAAACCGAAACTCGGGTCAAACCATCCTAATCAAACCGTACGGTTTGGTTTGGTTTGTTTTCTTCTTTTTTGGTGCTATTGGTTTGAAACCGAAACAAACCATTTTCTATGGTTTGATGCTCTATGCTGGATATTGAAAACCACGGTTTAATCAAACCAAACTAGTGGTATTGACACATACTAAATAAAAATTTATTATAAGTAATATATAATATATGAGAACTAAAAATTTAAACTGAAAACCTTTGTCCTGCCACCAACACGCATGTCTCTGCCAAAACAAAGAAAAAAAACAAAAAACCATGCATCCCTCTCCATCTGTCTTCATCTCTCACTCTCTATCTTTTATCTTTTTCTTTTTTCGTCTTCTTCTTCCTTTCTCTTCGTCAGTTTCAGTCTCTCATCAGTCTCTTTTTCTTTCATTTTCCTTCTTCTTCTTCCTCTCTCTGCCTATCTCTTTCTCTTTTATTGATTTTTTCCTTCTTCTCTCCATCTCTTTTTTCCTTCTTCTTCGGCTGACTCCATCTCTCTATCTCTTTTTCCCTTTTCTTCTTATCCTAGTTTTTTCCTTCTTCTCTTCTTTTTCTTCAGCCTAAAACCGACATCGAGCCAATCCAAATCGTTCAACTGGTTAACCGGAGGTGGTGGTTTGGCGTCGGTGCCGAAATTGCTACACCGAAAGCTTCGGTTCAATGGACGATTTGGGATCAAACCCAAAGCAACCCAGACCAAGCTCACCCTTACTCAAAACTGTACCGATGCCTCAGATATAGATACATCAACAAACATCCTCCCACAGTCAAAAGACTAAAAAAATAAACATTTACCAATGTATGAAGATTCCCAGTTATAAGGATATAGACTTTCTCTTCTTTTCCAATGTATTTTCATTGAAACTTCAACAAGTAGTTTATATTATCGAATCATGTTGTGACTTAGATTTAGGGTTTGGATTATAAGATCCATTTTTGAAATTTGAAGGACTCAATTAGGCTCAGACATGTAAATATTAAAAGCAAGCAGATCCTAACGGAGTAAAGGATCCAAACCCATAAAAAAATTGCACAACATTAAAAGGTAACAATTATTTAAAAAATTGCTTAACACGCTTTGGCTAATATGAAATCCATCAACCTTTTTGGGTTCAGTAGATATGTTGGAATTTAATTGCACTGGAACATGTAAGTTATTTTCTAACACACATATGATCTGGTTTAATGCATTTCCTAATTGTTAGACCTAATTACTCTCATTTAAAGAGTATCGCCGCACGGCTATAATTATTCAAATACATTTACACAGTATAGCTGGGCGGCTATAGTATCAAAATATATTAATATTTAAAGAGTATAGCCATTCGGCTATATTTGAATATTTTAATATTACAGTCGCGCGATTATACTTTTAAAATATATTAATATTTTAAAGAGTATAGTCTTGTGGCTATACTTTTTAAATGTATTCGAAATATTCAAAAAGTATAGTCGTGCCACAAAATATTTTTATAATTAAATTAAGTAATATCTTAGTCTTTTTTTGAATTATTTTAATTGATAATTATGTTTTATTTATTATTTCTTAGTGAATAATCAGTATTTAAATATTTTATTAATTTAATCAATTACTTAATAAATAGTAATTAATTATTTTAAATTATTTTGTGGTTCTTGTTTTTTATTTATTATTTATAAAATATTAGTTTGTTTAGTTTAATATTTTCAATTAGTAATATCTTTGCCTTATTTAATTATACCAATTATTTTTTATGTTTTAATTAAATAATAATTAATAATTTTAATTCATCTAATAAATTACTTATTAAATACTAATTAATTATATATACTCATCTTAAATGATTATTTGGACTTTAAAAATAGTTTCAATTATGAGAAAATTATTTTTTGAATCCATACGGAGTGAAATCAGCATAAATTGAATGCCAAAAGCTTCAATGTAGGTGGAAACGAAAGTTTAGGGGTGGTATTTGCAAAGACTTGCCATTTTCATAATTAAATATTAGCCTCTTCATATGCACTTCCGCGCATGCAGGAGACTTTTTTAAAAAAGTTTTAAATTTATTTTAGAATTAAGAAATATAATGGGTAGTTGTGTTCCATAAAAATAGGATCAATTATCTGATTTTTCTTTTAATTTTAATTTTTTTAATATGAAAAAGTGTGAATTTACCATATTATCCTCATTTAAGTAATAACTTTCAATACAAATTTATAAATAAACCCAATCCTAGACATGTATTTATAAAAAAACCCAAACACTATTTAAACATAGAAACACACCCAAAATCAACCCCAAAATCAACAATTGTATATTTTTTGGGTGTGTTTATCAATGGATTTTGAGTGTGTGTAATGATGAGTTTTGGGTGTGTTTATAAAGTGTTTTGGGTGTTATGTTTTTTTAATAATTTCAGCCCTCATTTTGGGTGTTTTAGTGAAACTCCCTAATTTCAATTCTTAATGTTTGTATTAACCAAGGGCATTTTCTAGTATTTTGAATGTTTTACCATTCTCTGTCTTTTACTTTATATATATAGATATAGATATGTAGGAATGAATTAATTATATGTACCCCATCATTAAATTAATTAAACTAGTGAAAGCATATCAATGAACCTAAACTATAAAGAAAATATCCTAATTAAGACTCAGGTATATACTTAAATCGAAGAAGGCCTATCAGTTATTGGATTGTATGTATATTTTATATCTAATGAATACAATTTAGCGTACAAGATTAGAAATATGTAACAAATGGCCGACTTAATACACTAGCATACTTGGCCGACTTATTACTCTAGCATGTATGTTTATGCCTAATCTGTGTAGCCACAATATTGTTTTGAATGCAAGTATGTCACTCTTAGTACTACAAAGAGCCTAATAAAAACATATATAATTAATAACTCACTTTTCATCGAGTACAAATAATTCAAGCTAGTTGTATATGCACATTTTGTTTGGAATCTGCAATCCAGATTAGATCATATGCTTCACCCACAACATTATTCATAAAGCTAAAAATTTGCAAGCCATGAATTATTTTCATATAATAAATAATTTTTGATCAAGTATTGTACACATGTCAAAGCAAGTCGAAAAGTATTTGATAAAAAATTATTTATTATTTAAATAATTGATACCCCATCCATAATGTTAAAACCCTGCATAAGTTCTGTACCACTAATTGTCTCTAAATTTCTTTTGTATGACATTATACATGGAGAGCAATCAAGGAGCATATATATACACGATTCTTTAATTTCTAAAAAACTAAACACAAATTCTCTCGTGCGCTTCTTATATGTGAATTCGAAGGAGTTCGTAACTCAAGTGATTAAGAGTATGTGAATTCCGTGCACATTGTGGGTGGCCGGTCGATCGGCTGAATCTGCATGGTAAGATGTGCATGAGAGACTTCATTGGCTAAATAAAAAGCATATGAAAATTATGGATTGTAATCTCTCGAATTTGGGCTTATTCCTTTTGTGGTTGTCTATGTTGTTTTATGCTTCGCCTCAGCCCAGTAGGCCCAAATAGTAAGGCCTGACTAGCCACGTCACTCAACGTTTCATATCCAATGTGGAACCCACTTACCCCACACAGTCCGAGGTAGGTTCCTTAATTCACGTGGCAAATTCAAATCCGGCAAGACATTACGGGACAATGGATCCTACCCCACAAGATAACCTCTCCATTTCCTAATTTGAAATCCGATGGCGTGGCGTGTAGCCAAGATCCCATAAACGAACAAACACCTTCTTAAATTGTGGCGAGTTCAAATCAAATCATTCTCTCTCCCAATATTGTATGAACTCAGTGCTTTCTCGCCTAAAATTAAAAAAATAAAATCCCTAATTCTGAATCCATATCCGCAATTTTCTCAATTTGAATTTTATAATAGGGAAGACCAAAATCATGCAAGATTCTAATTCCTTCCCTCTCTCTGTACCTGCAATGCTCTGATTCCTTTCTCGGAATCAGAATCAGAGCATTGCTTGTCATCCGAACAGTGGATTTTTTTGTCTTCAATCTCTTGGCTTGGAAATTTATCTGCAACTTCTTCTTTCCCAGGTAAAGTACAAAAAGACGCGATTCCGTACAACCATTTCTTTCCTTTTGTTATCCACATTCCATTCCACAACAACAACCTGGTTGGTTGCTGGAAAAACTGGAGGAAAATTTTAAACACCATTTCTTGACGTTTGAAATCCTGTGGTTTTTGGACCCGGTTATGGAATTTCTGAACCGGATTTCCGTTCGTTCTGGGAATCGCTTGGCATCTCATATTCACAGTTTTCTTGCCAAGAGGTTGAAACTTTTGAAAATTTGCATTTGCACAAACTAGATAATGATTATTTTTGTCGTTATTTTAATGACGTTGTTTGCTGTTTTGAAATTTGTTTATGGAATGGAATAGAATTCTGACATGATTATGAACACTTCAGTTGGGATCTAATGGTGGGTGATATGAAATCCGAGGATAAGTTGAGGGACTTTTACATTCCGAATTACATGCTTGTGAGTGGATCGGATATGCCAAAAGTTAAAATTGTGCCTTCATGTCCAGTCATGGTGTTTGTTAATGCCAAAAGTGGTGCTCAGATTGGAGGTGAACTCCTTCTTACGTATCGATCTCTTCTCAATGAGAACCAGGTTACTTATAGGCTCTGCAGCTACTTGTATTTTCGCTTTGTGGGTTTACATTTCTTTTGAGTTTGAGGTAACGGGAATCTTGGGATGGTTGATTCGGATCGTTTTTATTTTCAGGTTATTGACTTGGGAGAAAAGGCTCCTGAAAAGGTGCTACACACCCTTTATGTAACTTTAGAAACACTCAAGAGCAGTGGAGATGTTTTGGCTGCTGAAATCCAGAAGAGGTTGAGAATAATCGTGAGTTGAGCTTGTATATATTGAAAGTTGCGTGTACAAAATGACCATGATTTCATTCTATTATCTATGAATTGATAGACACTTGCTGTGATAGGTTGCAGGTGGAGATGGTACAGTTGGCTGGCTCCTCAGTGTAGTTTCTGATCTTAAACTACCTCACCCACCTCCAATTGCCCCAGTGCCATTGGGAACTGGAAACAATATCCATTTCGCTTTTGGTTGGGTAATGTTCTGTTTGCCAGCCTTGTGTGTTTGAATCTACGTTAATCTCTTGTTGGTCATTCATTGTTTGATTTTCACACTCCTGTTTGGTTTTCTTTGTTCGTTGTTGATCTCACTTGCCTTGATCATGTAGTCAGAGCACTCTATAGTATATGAACTACTGTATTTAATGGTGCAGGTTCCTGCATATTCTTAATATTTAGCTATTTTAGTTTTGGCATTGGAAGAAGTAACATCTTTGCATTTGAAAAGTATCTAGTGAAAAGTCTATAACCATGTCATCTATTTGGTATTGTGAGGTATTTTCTAGTAAATTAAAGCTGCATTCATTGTATCACTAATGTACACATGATATATGTAAGCAGCATTCTTTTTAGGCAAGACCATTGTGAAGTTTTCATAAGCTATTGTTGCAAAAAAGCTGAGATTTAGAAATCAAACAAGAAACCTGTCCCCTCATAAAAGGAAACTCTGTGCATTCCACTGGAAACCTGGCCTGTAGCCTCCACCAAAACACATGGTCATTCACACCATCCCCAAATAATCTTCTCGTCTCTGCCAGAACTGCCTACTCCATCCTATTCCCAAAGGACCTGAACTAGAGTGCCTCATAAATCATTCAGAATCTTGCCTCTCCTATCGCACAGTTTTAAATAAAACTTTAATATGTAGCTAGATATAAATTTTGCTTTGGTTGACAACAGTTTAGCTGGAATTAAGTTGGGATGTTTTGGTGTTAAATCATGGCATACGTGTATTACTAAGAAGGAATTTTTTTTTTAATTTATGCACAGGGCCTCATGTATCTCAGAGGCAGCCTTGAATAAACTAGCATATGCTAAGTGTTTTTGTGGTAAACATTTGGCTTCTTGCATTGACTCAACTTACAGTAGATTTGTTAGCTGATTAGAGTTTTAATCCACAGGGAAAGAAAAATCCTTTCACCGACCGTCAGTCTGTGCTGACTTTCTTGAATCAAGTGAAGACTGCGAAGGAAATGAACATTGACAGGTGACATCAACTATATTTTGAATTTTGACTGTCTGATCTTAAAAAATATACACATTTAAAATCTCCTTGCGGGTATCGTTACTGCTCAGCGAATCAATACTCTTCAAGGTGGAGTTGAGACATAGTTTATTTGATTTTTTTTTTTTTTTTTAATTTTATGTATCTCAGCTGGCACATAATAATGAGAATGAGGTCTCCAATGGAAGGTTCTTGTGATCCTATTGCACCTCTAGAACTACCCCATTCTTTGCATGCATTTCATCGAGTCTCCCAAACTGATACACTCAATATGGTGTGTTTCCTGTTTCCTGGTCAAGTGCCAATCTGATAAGTGATTCCTCAATTTATGTATCATTTTATTTTTTGCTTCATCGTAACGCTGCTTGCTTTTGCAAACTTATTACCACTAAAATGTTGGCTGTTCTCAGGAGGGTTACCAGACCTTTCGTGGGGGGTTTTGGAACTACTTCAGCATGGGTAAGAAGTCAAGAATGTTTTTAATTAAGAAATCTAGGTGTTCTCTTTGTGTGCTTGTGCCTATGATTTGTGCACATAACCTTTAGGGGCCTTGTGGTGGAGGACAACCATCCTACCCGTTATTGTTGTTAGGAAGGGATTTGAGGAGAAAATTTTAGTTTATTTTGAAGTTCTATATATAATGTATGCAGATAAAGGAAAAGTGGAATTAAATAAGTATAGTATTGTTCTCATTTGAAGCGTCTCTATATGTAGACATATTTCATAAACATTCTTAAAGTGTCAATATTTGTGATGGGAAAGTCTCCTATTTGATGTTTTGAAGCTCACTTCTTTTGTTCACTACTGCCTGCGGTGTTGGGTGATATAAGTTTTTGGGTATATAATCAGATAAATGCCTTCTTGCATAAATCTCAGTCTATCATCTATGAGTAATCATGGTAGTTATTCATATTAGAAACATTTTGAAGATATTAACCATTGGTGTGCAGTGTACTTAGGTTAAGTCCCCTGTTGTATTGATGTTATAAGTTAATGTTGTCTAGCCCTTCCAAAAATTTAGAAGTAAATATTGGTTTCGTTCAGTAACTAGTTGCAAGAACTATTGCATGACAGCAGTTTCCAGGTTTCCTGACAAATGTATTTTGTTTTATACAGGAATGGATGCTCAAATATCATATGATTTTCACGCACAGAGGAAGTTGCATGCAGAAAAATTTAAAAACCAGTTAGTTAATCAAGTACTAACTGATTCTGCATCTTTAACATCATGCTCTAAAGTAGATAAGTAGTATAATAATGTCTACATATGTGTAATGATTCTTTTTTGAAGTCTACCAACCATCCATCTCGAATGATGGATACCTAATAGGTGTTTTCATTTGTTTTGGTGTCTAGGTGTTTCCATTTGTTTTGCCAAGGGTCTAACTTCTTGTTTTCCCGTCATAAATAAATTCGCTACTAATTATCATTGTTTTGCTTTTTTAATTGGTTCAGGGTACTTACTTGAAGCTTGGGTGTACACAAGGATGGTTTTGTGCTTCTCTATCGCATCCTTCTTCACGGTTAGTCTTCTTCACAGTTTTGTGCTTTTTTTAATAGGTGCTTTTCTATAACCCAATTTTTTATCAGACAGTCCAAAAAAACGGAGCCAAATTTATGACTCTTCTTGTTCACTTTATTTCTGCAATGTTCTGAAATCAGGAAATGGGGTGAATGTATTTGCACATCTTAAGATCTATGTTATCTACCATTCTTCAAGTTAGCCTTTTGTTTTGTTGTTTGTATTAGTGGTAATGCCTTGATTTCAACACAGGAACATATCACATCAGACAAAGATTAAGATCATGAAACGACAAGGTCAATGGGAAGACCTCCTCATACCTCGCAGGTGATATAAACTTTCTGTTTAACTTTTTGTAACTGTTATGGTTCTCTTAATCTCTAAAGCCACTTGCCCCAAAAAGTCGTTTCACCTATTTTTTCTTCCAGATTACAATATGTGGCATTCCATTTCGCGTGCTTAAATTAAAGAAATGATACAATGAGGCCCTGGCAAATTAGAATGACATGTATTTCAGATAATGTATTAAACATTAATCAGTTGAATTAACTGACTAGACAAAGCTTTCATTGTTTCCACTTTCCATCCTTTCTTATGTTTGCAATCAACATTTGTAGCCTTTCCATCACTTAATTTTTTTATATATTATCTCTGATTTACAGCATTAGGTCTATTGTGTGCCTCAACTTACCCAGTTTTTCTGGTGGTCTTGACCCATGGGGGAAACCAAATACGAAGAAAGTGCAATATGTAATTTCTGATTGCTCTCCAATCTGTTTCAGACAGATTGGCTTTTTCCTAAGTTCCAGTTAAAAATGCAAAAATCTATCTTGCCAACTGTTTGTAATTCCAAATAATATGTGCTTCACAGAGGGATTTAACTCCTCCATATGTGGATGATGGCCTCATCGAGATTGTTGGTTTTAGAGATGCCTGGCATGGGCTTATCTTACTTGCTCCTAAGGGACATGGGACTCGTCTTGCACAGGTATCATATACTATCCTTAGATCATTTAATGCTGTCATCTCAATATAAACAGAATCAAACTAGTTTTCAACTGATCATGGTTCAAACCTTATTTTGGAGCATCTCATATATAAGTACTTTCATCTCTCTCTCGCTCTGTGAAATAGATTAATTGTTCAACCTTTATACTTCATTGTAGGCAAACAGAATACGTTTCGAGTTTTGCAAGGGTGCAGCTGAGCATACATTCATGAGAATTGATGGGGAGCCATGGAAACAACCTCTTCCAGCAGACAATGACACAGTGGTTGTAGAGATTTCTCACTTTGGCCAAGCGAACATGCTTGCCACACCATTAAATCGATCCAAAAGTGTAAATGACCCCATGTCTCCAGTTAATTCCCACGATGAGGATGATGACAGTAATGACGAAGAATATGATGATGCAGAAGATACGGAAGAGAAAAGGAAGTTTGGTGCATCGGACACGTTCAAAATTCCAGATGGCGTTGACATAGCTCAACTTACTTAAGCCTATTCCTCGTATCATCACCCTGCATTGGGATTTTTTTCACATAAATCACAGTAGTTTTTGTCCAACAAAATCTGCCCGGGCCTCAATTTGAAAGATCACCATCCTGACAATGTACAAATACATTTTCTTGTCATTGATTAGTGATTGGTTATTTTGAGATTGCGCATGTATAAATCTGGCAAATCTGGTAGATTCCAAATTCAATTCTTTACCTGAAATCGCTTGATTGTATAGGGTGTTTGCTTGATTCAATTATTATCTGCATTGTAAATCCCTAGCTTGAGCAGCTAACTCTGGTAGTTATAGTTATAAAAACAGAGCTCTACTGATTCAATATATCTTTTCTTTCTGTGAGGCTGGTATTTTTAATACATCTCACTAATCTCAGCCCGAGACCAATTCAAAACTGGAGCTATGCACAATTTCCCAAGCCACTTTGGAATTTCATCGGTTTAGAACTGACCTCAGCATGCAAACTCATCACATCTTGTCCTCACCGAGTGTGGTCGCAGTAGCCATGGATGGTAAATCCTATCTAGTGTTACCGAGATATGCTAGTCATGACTCATGATCATGCTAATTGACTACATTATGTAACAATTTTTAATTAACCGGTGACCGTGATAATTGATACATAAGCATCAACTGTGACATCACGTGGCTGGTTCACTATCAATACAAAGACTAAGTCTTCTAGTCGCGAAATGCACATGGAGAAATTGCGTGCAACTCAAGTGAAAATAAAACACAGCAAGCTCGTACTTAAGGTTATTGAAAAGGTAAACTGTGGAAATATGAATGAGAATGCAAAGCCTACTTATCAGGTCATAAATGATGAAATTTAAAACAATGAAAATTAATGTTATAGAATTTATAAAGTTTCTTGTTTGGATAACGGATTTAAATACAGAATTTAACCTTTATTTGTGAAGTTATCTTTTTTTTTTTAAGCTATTTCTCTTGGAATTTTAGAAATGACGACTTTTAGCTAGAATTTAAAGTTGAGATTTCTGACCTCTAAATTCCATGGTTTTTCCCACGCGGAATTTCTAAATTTCTATGCTTTTTTATCTAAACACGGGAATTGGTTCATTTCAATTTATAGCAATTCTGACTTTTATCAAAATCCCAAGTTTATTTCCCTCATCCAAATGCAGGTTTGGAGTTTCAAAGCCCCATTTTATAACTATTAAATACAGCATAATTCCCCATGTTTAATTTATATCAAGAATCTGAGATGCTTGCACCAGAAGACTATGGGTCAGCTTGGTTTTTTTGTTTCAGTCAATGTCGACCATCTACATTAGTTTCTATTCTCAATTCTTCAAACAAAACAATCCAATTATTGCCTCTTTTTTTTTGGGCAGAGAGTTATTGGCAACTTCCTTATCCCTCTAAATAATCAATTCTTCAAACAAAACAATCCAATTATTGCCTTTTTTTTTTTGGGCAGAGAGTTATTGGCAACTTCCTTATCCCTCTAAATAAATTGCAATTCTAAGTAAAACAAGGAAGAAAAAAAAAGTCAAGAGAGAAAAACTTGTATATCACGGAAATAATATTGTTTTGCTATTCTCAACCAATTATATTCTGTCACGCATGATAAGAATTCTGCATGATGAAGCGTGATTGGATGAAGATAATAAAACAATGTTATCCCCGTGACATTTGAGTCCTTCTCCATATAAAGGAGCGCAATTGAGGGATAATAGGATTGGAGCATGATTCATTCCTCATTGATGTCTGTTTGTGGGATATGAAAGTGAATGGAAGGTGTGGGAAGCCTTGCTATGTTGTAACCCCAAAATATCAAGTTTCTTGGAAAAGCAATATAATTCATGACATTGAGGCCATTCTTTTGCTTCTTTCCATGTTGGTGTATTTCCGCACTCCCCCTCTTCCTTGGTTGTGACTATTCTTTTGCTCAATGAAAATTTTATTCCTTTCGAAGGAGAAAAAAAAAATCCAAAAAAATAAAAAATAATAAAAAAAGAGGAAAGCGCGTGGGTTATGGCTCCCAGAAAGAAGAGCCCCCTTTTTTTTTGGGCCTGACCCAAAAACAAGAGCTCAGCACATGGTTTTGCTAAACCTATTACCACAGATTTTGTCCTAAACAATTGGTGCCAGTGCTTTGATTTTCACTCTTTTTTTTCTTCTTATATTAGCTGCCTATATATAGAGAATGGTCCAACCTTTCAACCCACAACCAAAAACCAAGAAACCCCAGATTCAGACGTTCAATTTATACTCTCCCTTTCAAAGCTTTCATCTTTCGCCCATCCACCTGTTACCCAATAAAAGATCTTCTTCAAAATCAGATACCAGAAGAAAAGAAAAAAAATCTGCAAAAATGGTGAATGCAGCTTGCAGGGCTTGGATTGTGGCAGCAAGTATTGGAGCTGTTGAGGCTCTGAAAGACCAAGGAATTTGCAGGTGGAATGGGGTTTTGAGGTCACTGCAACAGCATGCCAAGAACAACATGAGATCATATTCCCAGGCCAAGAAACTCTCTGGGTCTTCTTCTTCAGCAATTTCTAACAAGATGCAGAGGTCACAGGAGGAGAAGGTGAGGAAAGTCATGGAGTTGAACTGCTGGGGTCCTAACACTACTAGGTTTTAGATTTTAGATTTTGAGTCTGTGGATGGATGTAATCCCTTTTTCCATGAATTACATGACTTCATTTCATTACTCTTTGATCCTTTTCGCTTCTTTTTCTTTTTCTTTCCCCTGTTTGTATCCAAAAAAGGGATTTTTGTTGTTGTTGTTGTTGTCTTTTTGATGAAGCTGAGTGCCAAAGTTTTATAACTTGGGCCTAAAGAAATGAGATTAAATGCTGCCTCACTAATTAGATAGAATTAAAGAGAAATTTGCCATATTGGTTTTTTCATATTTCTGTTCTGTTTTGCATTTCCTTTTAATGTGGTAGAATTTGGATGGTTTTTTTTCTTGCACAAAGGATGTCAAAGGGAATAACAAATCAACAAATCCACAATTCCAAACAAAATTGGTTCAGATGCATAGGCCCCAATTTTAATAAATCAATTTTATTAACATCATAAAACAGGCGATCAAACAATTCCCAATCATGGATCCGCAAACATGGTACTTGCGGATCGGATCATAGAAAAGAACTCTCTTTTCTGTTTACTTTTCCCGGTTCTTTTGCTACTGAGGACTTTACAGATTTTTCCTGATCGATCGGATCATATAGATATCCCTTCAACACGACATATAGATATCCCTTCATCACGACACAGGTCATTGAAAGGATCTTGGACACCCGCCAAATCACAAAACATTTTTAAAGTTGATTTACGTTACTTACAGAGAAAAAGAATTGGCCTCCCTCAGTACTGGAGTTTTTTTTTGTTTTTTTTTGGGTATACAGAACTGAAATTTTCGCCCTTAATTTTCTACCATTTGAAAAAGTATAATGGGGCGGGCTCACTATTATATGGCAGAAGAGGGGGAGAAGGCGCAGAGTTTCTTAACTTTTTCCAAGGCAATAACAAAACTAAGCGGCCCATGGGTCACACAGCACGAAGCAACCCCAAAATTTGTCTTTTATAAACCATTTAGAGCATCGGCCCCTTCCCTGCTTGACTCAGGTTCGAAACTTTAAGGGATTTCTCTTCTCCGAATATTAACAAACAAATATATATATATATATATATATAGCGCCCGGCATTGCCAACAAGGTTTAACAGGCGCGTATCCAATTCAAACTTTTAATGATTTTTATAGAGTTTAAAAGTCTGTAGGTATTCAATTTAGACTTTTAAAGAGTATATAAAAGTCTAGTGGTATTCAATTGTGATTTTTAAAAAGTATTTAAAAGTTTGGCGGTATCCAAAAAGTTAATGACTTTTAAAAAGCTTATTAAATGAATGACTTTTCCAGACTTTTAAGGCTAATTGTTAAGAGCAAAAGTCTTGCCAATTTACTAGTGACTTTTATTAACTCTATGAAAGTATTTAAGAATTTGTCATCTCTATGAAAGTCACTCACTTAAAAAAAGTCTTTATAAGTATGAATTGGATACACCCCCTAAGTAGAAAAAGAATTTTAACTTGCAGACCATAGGTTTTACGTTCGACTCCATTCAGGAATTTTTCAAAGGAGGAGCAACATTTAAAAAGCTAAAAATATGTGAAGAAAATCCAAGTGCAATGAGTCCATGAACCCATCTAAGAAAGGGCAGATGCCAAATAAGAGGGGTTAAAGCTCATGGATATGTATTATATAGAGATACACCATTAAGGGAAATTTGGGAGACAGCAAGTTTATGTGAAGCAAAAAACAAATTGAATATTACGAAGTCTCTTTCAGACATTTAATCGAACACATGGTGGGCACCAGTAGAGGGGCAAATTCCGGCCAATCCCAAAGGATTTTCCTGCAAGGGGAGGTGCAACTGCACCTCCTTGCTCATGTATAGGTCCGCCAGTGACCCCAATGACATCTTAGATGTGTGTGTGTGAAAAACTATCTTCTCCTATAGTATAGCATCGGTCGACATTATGCTGCTAAGTAAATGGTTTTGTCATCTAAATACTAGGGGCCGGCAGATGCGTACAATACAGCTCAATTTAAAGCCTTTTGATAGAAGAACAAAGCTTCTAAACCAACTTTGTCACTCAAGTAAGCTTTTAGAAACAAAAGAAAAAGGATAGCTGTGAATGTTGTTGGTAATTTGGGCTGAGCCCAAACATTGGCCACACATAGGGGTCGCAATTGTTGACTTTGAGATATTTCAACAAACATCGTGGCCTTTATCACGCATAATTAGGTTGCTTACTGCCCAAAAGGCATCCATGGTTATAAATCCAAACCTGGACTAAACCGGTGGAGACCACCCTCTGGTTTTTAATATCTCAAATCCAGGTTCTCCACCACAACTCTACAACTTGTATAATATATCCATGTATGCATTTCTCTTTACAGCACACAACTTCATACGAATACAATTACTTGCAGATCACAGTTTTGAAATCCATGTATACAATTACTTGCAAACGGTCATTTGTCTACAAGCCTAGTCGCGATTGCACTACATTCACAAGTTTGGGATTTATTCGGGGCTCGTTTTAGATCAGATGACTCACTAGATTAAAAGTATTTTAAAAGGACGAAATAAAGAGTACATGTGAATGATTTTTCATTTTTAGGATTATAAGAGAAAAGTTATAAGGTGTTGATATCTTGCCATTTTCAGAA